CCGTACCCACTGTATATATATATATATATATATATATATATAATTTTAAAAAATTTTGTTATTTAGCAGATATATTAATTCTATTTTATTACAAGAAAAAACATGTTGAAATATTTAGAAATAAAAATGTGTAATTAAGTTATATGTAATTCTAAAAACATTCATAATTTAAAAACTTGCTTTTTAATTTGACTTAGACATTAAAAACAAAAACAAATTATGTATATTCTAAAAATATAAAAATATTTATAATCTGAAAATGACAAGTTTCATGAATGTGTTAATGAATGATTATTTTAATTAATGACATCTATGATTTGTTTTCTTCAGTTTCCTTCAGTTATCTTGTTTTGTAAGTAGCATGAGCATGAGATATTTGTGCTCAAGGTTACCGTGGAGATCTCACGCCTCCAGCGAGCAGCTTATGCTGTAGAGTGCATGCAGGGCGACGCAGCATCTGCAGAGGCAGTGAGATTCTCTTTCTGTGTCTCTGCGTGTCCGCAGTATGTGCTACCACTGCGTTTTTAACCCCTCCTCCACTAATTCTCACATCTCGTATCACTTTGGCCTCCCGTGTCACTGGATATCCTGCAGTGGATGTTTAATGCCAACACACATTTGACCTTGTGCAGAATATTCTTCTAACTTTGGCCTTCTTAATAAATATTGCAGTATGAAGCATACATGATTACTGCATTGATGCGGTTTGTTTTTCATGTATGTTGTAGTGTCATTTCTATGTTGTTGTTTTTTGTTGTTTTTTTGCGCAGGTAATCAATTTGTTTACTGTATATAATGAAGTATAATGTATATAATGAATACTGTATATAAGTCAATAGTTGTGAAATAGTAAGAGTAAAAAGCTAGGAAATGAATGTGAATAGCAGTTCAGATCATTAAGTCTTAGGAGAAATGTTTGATTTCTTATTGAGCTCTTTGACTTTTGCTGAAGTTGTGACACTTTTGAGATCTCTTCTGAGATAAATGAGAGATTTACTGGGGTCTTTTTTTGCAGGAGACTTAAGCAAAATATTTAATTTCTGTCCAAGAGAAACAACTGAGATACTTAATAGTTGTCATTTGTGATCTTTCTTGCCATAGGGTCGGTGTACGAGAGAGAACTGTAAGTACCTTCACCCACCAGCGCATCTGAAGACGCAGCTGGAAATCAACGGACGCAACAACCTCATCCAACAGAAGACTGCAGCAGCGATGCTGGCGCAGCAGATGCAGTTCATGATCCCTGGCACCACCATGCAACCAATGGTAAGAACCATCTACTCATCTTCCCGTCTAGCTGCATATTTACGTGAATTAAATAGTTCACCAAAAAAATGAAAATGTGCTGAAAATGTACTCTCAGGTCATCCAAGATGCAGATGAGTTTGTTTCTTCATCAGAACAGATTTGGAGAAATGAAACAAAGAAACAAATCCACCATTGAGACTTAAGTTTTTAACTTCAAACTGTTGCTTCCGGCTAAATTACGAGTCCATAATCCAAAATAATGCTTTCTTCAAATCTGATGAAGAAACAAATTCAACTACATCTTGAATGGCCTGGAAGTGAGTACATTTGCAGCAAATTTTAATTTTTAGGTGAACTATTCCTTTTATTGGAATAGTTCCATATATTGTCTTCTTCACAGCCTACATTTCCTGTCAGCCAAGGTCTGGGCTCAAACCCTGGACTAAGTTACGCACCGTATCTGACTCCCATGAGCCATGGCATGGGTTTGGTCCACACAGAGATGCTTCCCAGCACCCCTGTAATCGTCCCCGGCAGCCCACCGGTCAGTGTGCAGAGCTCGTCCTCCACACAGAAACTACTGCGCACGGACAAGCTTGAGGTAATGCGTCACACAGAAACATTATGAGGCCATCTTTTCATTCGTCTCGAGACAAACAGCATCATTTCTGAACCACAGATGTGCAAAGCGCAGTTTAAATCTCATTGCCATAATTGAAATCTAGGTTAAGGTATCAGAAAACTTGATTAAAAGCTTAAAATAAATCTGTATAGTTCGTGCTTTTAACTCGAACTATTTACTGTAATATTTACTTTATTTGAACTATTTTGTTAAAATAGACATTCATTTAAAAATGATCCAATGTTGTAGTTGCGGCGTCTAACAGTATATGGCAAAGAAATAGCGAAAGAAAGAAAAGACCAATCGTAATTCAGTATGCAAATAAAATGTAAGCAAGAAAAGGCCAATCATATATATAAAGAAAGGATGAAAGAAAAGAACAATCATAATTTGGTGAGCAATCATAATTCAGTATGCAATTATATGCAAATAATAAATAAATAATCAGTATGTAAATAATGGCATCATCAGTCGGTTAGATTCTCAATGTAGAACGCTTGAACAATGTCAAGGTCACAGATTTTCAAACTTTGTTGAAGTATATTTAAAGTTTATGAAAACCAAAGACTTTAATCTGTATGTTAAAGACGGAGCTGAATTAATTACTGAAAAGTGTGAGAAGGAGGATAGAAAGAAGCGCTTCTCGCAAAAAAATTATCAGCGTGGTTGAAACAATAACAGTTGAAGGTTCTGTGTGTGTGTGTGTGTCACTAAATGTGCGATCACTTAGCAACTGACTGATGGCCCTCCCACACTGAGAGGCTGTCGCTGCCTTTGTTAATATTCAGCTCCGTGTGTGTTTACTTACGTACCTGTGCTCATACATGAAAGCTTTGAAACTTTAATTACTCACGTCTCTGTTTGCACATTTCTGTTGTGTTCCCTGTTTGTTTTGTCTGCGTGTTCGTTTGCACCCGTGAATGCCCGCGACCAGGTGTGTCGTGAGTTTCAGAGGGGCAACTGTGCACGCGGCGAGACCGACTGCCGCTTCGCCCATCCTAGCGACAGCCCCATGATTGACACGAGCGACAACACGGTCACCGTGTGCATGGACTACATCAAGAGCCGCTGCTCGCGCGAGAAGTGCAAGTATTTCCACCCTCCGGCTCACCTGCAGGCCAAGATCAAAGCAGCCCAGCATCAGGCCAACCAGACTGCCGTCGCAGCGCAGGCCGCCGCTGCAGCCATGGTGAGCTAATCATGCACAATTGATTTTGAAAATACATGCATACAATTCTACGTTTAAAGAGTCATGTTGTGCAAAACATTAAAGAGTGTTAAAATTCTTAAATTACACAACCGTGCCTCACCAGCTGCATTTAATTTACAGCAGAATTTAATTTACCGCATTGTCACGACACATTGAATCGTAACTAAGGCAGTGCTTAGAATTGCGAAATCGTTTTCAGTTATGTGCAAGATAAAATCAATTGACAACACATGTTGAGACGTGCCCGCGGAGGTTGCAATTGAGATATCTGATGATGTTAAGCACATTAAATGTGGAGCACTGTTTTATTATTATATAGCCATGACCCATCTCTAGAATCTGGGCGGGGTTGTGTGCCAAATCTGTTTCGACTCCCTTATCTCATCCCCGGGGGATTTTAGTCCTATTAAACAGAGTGAGGAAAGAGATGGAGACAAAGAGACGAGCTGCTTGAGAATACAGCTGTGTGATAAAAATCACTCCCCCTTCTTATCCATCTAGTTTTGTACTGATGCAATCATTATTAGGAATAGGATATTAATATAATAAGCACGATAGCTTTTTTGCTCACACCCTCGACTGTACAAGTTCACGGGGCAGCTTACTTCCCCATTTCTCTGCCCAATGGGAGGCCTACTCTCCTCAGATCAGTCAAGATAAAATTAAGGAGATGGACGACATCTTCATTATCTAAGTGAAACTGTATATTGGGCCGCATGCCAGGCTGCTCTCGCTTGTCAGTTCTAACTCATGTCTACGTTGCAAGCAAACGATGCAATGCAACGGAACAACAAAACTGAGTTTTGTGCTATGCTATAAGCAAGGGATGTCAAGTTTTGTTGCGTCTTGCAATTTATATGGCTTCGATTATAACAGGTACTATTAAGTATTGAGCCATTGCAATCTCTGCATGCAATTTTGTTTCATTATTCACTTGCAGCCTAGACAGCAATGTAGCTTTTTGTCTACACTGCAAGCAAACGACGCAAAGAGATTGATGCACCATTATGCACAAACGAAGAAATAATTTTGTTGCATTTTGCACATATTGTTGCGTCACAATCTCTGCATGCATGCAGTTTTGTTGCAACACTTGCTTGTAGCCTACACAGTTCTGTTGATTTATGATGGGAGCAATCTAAGTTTTTCTATACTGCATGCGGGCATTGTAAATGTAAAAAAAAAAAAATGCAGCAAATTAGGGAAAAAAAATAATAATAATTTATTTTTGTTGTGTCTTGTCACTCACAGAGTATATGGCTTTGATTATAACAGGTGCCATCAAGTTTTTTTTGCATCACAATCTCTGCATGCATGCAGTTTCAATTTTGTTGCATTTGTTGCAGTATTGATGGCTTTGGTGATTATGGGAGCAATGTAGTTTTGTCTACACTACAAGTGAGTGATGCAACAAAACAGCAATGCTCCCTTAAAAACCAATGAAACCATGTGTACAGCAAGTGAGTGATGCATCAAAACCAGTATTGCACATTTGCAATATAACTTTGTTGATTGCAATATGAGCAACTTGTGGCTTACAGTGTAAGAGCAAGGTCTACACTGTAACCCAGCCATGCATCACAACAAAACTAGGTTGCTCCAGTTATAATCAGCAAAACTGTCCACATTGCAAGTGGTGTGACGCAATAAAACTTGATATTGCATGCTCGTAGATAGCTTTGTTTTATATAATGTGACTGTACTTGTTTTGCTTACACTGCATACAAGGAATGTGGTGCAACAACACTAGATTACTTCCATTATAATAAACAGAAGAGAGTGATGAGATGCAAGAAAAACATGCAAGCTAGTGGTAGAGATAGCTTTGTTGATTATAATAAAAGTAGGGATGCACGATATTATCGGACTGATATCGGAATCGGCCGATAATGGCTTTAAATGTAAATATCGGCATCGGGCCGATATGAAAAATTATGCCAATATATCTTGTCGATCAGAGGAATACATTAACTCACATGTGCTGAGGGTGTGCTAGTGATTAGATCAAGTCAGCAGTGTGGCTCATTCTTGAAGCAAAGTTTTGGTCTGAATGATGACTAGATTCACTGGTTTGGATTGCTGCATTTAATCTGTGAAAGCACGTACAGAATGACTGGTTCGGTGTATGATAGAGTAAACAGTAACAGCACGTGCAGCGGCAGCCTCCCCCGGGTCCTAATGCCCATTCGGTAAGGAGTTTTAATCTGTAGGGGGCACTGTTGGCGTACTTCTAATTAAATTAAAAGTAAAATAGTTTACACAAATAACATTTAGACTGTGTTTCTGATTAAATAAAGCAGTAAATTGATGTCATAAAAAATGAGTATGTTTTGATTTAAAGGTCAGAAGCTATAGCTTACATGAAAAAAATCACAAACATGACAACTTGTAAATAAATTTATTCATTAATGTATAGGTTTTATTTTTTAAACAAATCATAAGCTCTAAAAGATTTTCAGAATTTTTACAACTCTTTTGCTTTAGACCATCTACAAATGTTAAATCTTAAAATAAAATGTTAGGGTTAACACTGCATCTTTCTGGGGGAAAAATGCAGCAATTGATATATAGTTTATTTATAGTTATTTTCAAAGCTTCAATGTACTGTCAAAAAACCTTCATTATTGTTTATTTAATTCTAACAAATAAGTTCTTGTTAAAAACCAACCAAAATATTTTGCTTATAATTTCTGCACAGGAGAGACTTGGTGTTGTTTCCAAACAAAAGGAAATATATCGGTATCGGTATCGGCCAAAATGAGTTGAAAAATATCGGCATATCGGCAAAAATCCAATATCATGCATCCCTAAATAAAAGTAAACCAATTTTGTTGCAGTGCATTGCTTTATTGCATGGTTGCGTTGTAGTGCAGCTTTTTTGATTATAATGAGAGCAATATAGTTTTTTCTACATTGCACACAAGCGGTGTGCTTGCAAGAAAACTATATTTCTCCTATTAAAATTAATAAAGCTGCAAGCTGGTGACAATATGCGACGTGATCTAGCTTGGTCGCATTGCATCCCTAGATTGTGGTGTACACAGTTCTAGCGTTGATTATAATGAGCAATTTAGATTTAGCTGTCTGCACTGCAAGCAACGCACTGCAATGTGACAGCTCGACATTGTGTCCAAGCAGTGTAGACAGCTTTGTTGATTATAATGAAAGAGAATACTTTTTACATTGCAATCAATGCAATGCAGGAAAACTTGATGGCTCCTGTTATTATCAATGAAATTGCCTGCTTTGCAATTTCACAATGCGACACAACAAATGCAACATGCGTGAGTATGCCATTTATAATGGGAACAATATAATTTCCTTGCAAATCGTTTCATTGATTTATAATGGTAAGAACCTAGTTTGGTCCTGCAAGCTTACAATTCGACATAACACATGCGACATGGTGAGGTTGCCGTTTAAAATAGGAACATAAAATCTTGTTTTCTTGCACTGCTCATATCATTGATTATAATGGTACGGATATAGTTTGATATCACTTGCTTGCGTTGACACAGTAGACACGGTATTTGGCAGCAAGCTTTCCCGCTTCCACATCTCACGCTGGTGTGGTTTTAGTTTGCTGCGTTTGCTGTCATGGCACTCACATGCTTGGCCTCATTCGTTTTGCTGTTTACTCCATTTTTGCTTTTGCTTTTGCCCTGAACCTTTTGTCTTTTTCTACTGTGGCGTCTGGGTCAGAGAGTGACGCGAGGACAGTAGCAGCTCACCAGCCATAAAAATAAAACAAGAGTGCAAATAAAGTCCCAGGTTTCCCAAGCATACAGCGACCTGAGATAAACCACCAGTCCTTTCCCTGATTATGATGTAATGCACATAACAAAGCAGATTTTTTTTCTAGGGTTCAAACCGGGCCACTTACTGTAGGGATGCTGAAGCAATCGATCCCTGCCCTCAACCCCAGAGAAAGGGTTTAAAAGTCAGATGATATAGTTATGGCTTCTTCATTTTCTTGTCTTTTAGTTTCTCTTTGTTTGTTTTTTTGGTTTTTTCCTTCAGTGGAAGGTTATGTAATTCTGTATGATAAATCCCTGTGGGTGGCATATTTATTTTAATGGTTCTCTATGTTGGCGGAGGGGAGCAAAATATTCAACTCTTGGTTACAAGAATACCACAATTAAAGTGCATCTTATTCTGATGTTTATTAAAAGCATACTTACAAGCTCTGTTCCTAAACCTACTGATCTTTCTTATTAGACAGCACTAGACTCTGTCTGTCATAAACATGACGCCAAGGC